GGAAATGGGAATGTGGCAGGCTATAAAGCATTTCAGCTTTAGCTGCTGGTAGACACTTAGTGAAACATTACTAAGAGATCAGGTTTATATAACAGATATATTCTAACATTTTATGTTATTCACATTATTCAGGCACCAAGATTAGATGGGGAAATGGATTCTGTACTCTGTTGCTGGGCTTATGAACAAACAATGGAAATGCCAAAATGACGAATGTTCTCCCATTCATTTTACATACTTTAATTTGCAGAAAACTGCAGAAGCCTATATGAGAATTTCTTGCAGGATTAGCTTAAAGAGGGTTGAACAGGATGATTCAAACCCCTCTAAATATTTAGCAACTCGAATATTCTCTGATTATTTTTAGTGACATATCAGAGTTTCTACTTTGAAAAGGCTGGAATCCTATGCAGGTGGGAAAAATTGTGTATGACTTTGTCTCCCTTTTACATACAACACCTTTTAGCTGAATGAGTTAACACTACATGTTATCTTGCTTAAAATATAGTGGGAAAAAAAAAAAAGAGAGAAGTGTGAGTTCTCACCTAACAAGGCCAAAAGACAATGGGCAATGCAGGCTTGCTTACCAAGGCTGAAGAGGAGCCAGAGCTTCCCTCTGTTTTGATTTGGAAAACCAGGTTTCTTGCACCTTTAGTGTGAAATACAATAGCTAATTGTATATCAACAGCAAAATTCCTACAGACTTCATAGAGGACATTTTTTAATTCTGTCTGGTTTTGGTTTTGATATGTACTTAGAATCTTAAGTGATATTTCTCGCTTAAGTCTTATCTCATTGAAGACCATAATTTTATTTCTCAGAGTTCCTCACTAAATTTAAAAATACAACTCTAGTGCTTAGCAGGCATCTTAGTATTTTTCTTTGTAATTTATTTACTTTGATAAGAGTTTCCAACAAAATATGGTAATCATTTGTGACAGAACAAATAAGCATTTGTTATAAACAAACAGTGATAAGCAATTTACTGCAGAAAAAAGCATTAATGTTCTTTTTTTAGAGGAAAACTGTAAGATGTTACAGGTGTAATTCCTACATAAATAGATGCTCCTTCACATGAGTACTCTTATAGAAATGAATAGGATTGCTTATGTGAGGAGTTGTTCATCACTTTGAGCATGAATAGCAAAAACAAAGTTCGAAAAATGAGCACAAGCCAGATCAAACACAACAGGAGTGACTGAGAGCATTTCTTAATTTTGAATTTCTTGGAAAAAGACCAGGCTGTAATTAGATTTTCTGAACATAATTTCCTCAGGGATTTCAATAACTGCAATACAAAAAGCTAATGAGCATTTCCATACCAAAAATTTATTTGGCCTTAATTTTATAATAATATACAAACTGACTCTGTTTAACATTTGTATCATCCAAACTCTATAGGCCAAGAACTAGAGTTCTTCAGATAGATGAAAATTCAGTCTGCTGAATTCTCCCTTTTCCATCCTAAGCGAATTTAAAGCCCTAAAAAAAAAGGATTTACTCTCTTTAATATCTTTTATTGTATAAAAGCACATGTGCTTTGTTTGTCAATTTTAAATATCTTGTGTAGCAGTGCTAAACTTTATGCCAGGTATTAGCAACAAACAAGTTATAAGGAAACACGTCGGGTATTTTTTTCCCATGCTTATATGGCTCTTGTATTTTTTTCTTCTTAAGCATGATTTCAGTTAACAAGGTTAATCGTGGCTTCTAATTTTCATGCTTTTGTAGATCTTGATGTATAGGGTGCATATCATAGCAATGAACATTTATCTTCTATTGGGCTCAAATTCTTTATTCTTTATTATATTTAAGAAAATGTACAATTCATTTATGTCATAATCATGTATGCACAAAAATGGTGTAGAGATCTTTTTCTTTTATTTCTCTCTTAGTTAAGCTATTTTTTGATTAAAAATATGCAAGGACACTATTTAATTTCTGAACTGTAATTAAAGGCAATATATACACTTTAGAAAGAGGCATTGTGATTTGTAGAGCCATGGCTATCAATTGGGATTTTAAGTGAAATCACTCCAACACAGAAGTTTAGATCAGAATTTCACCTGATAACTGCGCTATTTTTTGGCATGGCAGCAATTCCCCTTTTTATTGTGCAGTGCTGAGGCTTGTCCCATGCCCAATATCACATCAGACAGTGAGAAAAGGCGACAGGCAGTACTGAAAGGGCAGCACTGTGTCAGCTAATGAGGCCCCACGTCACAACCTCCACAGCGGCTGCAGATCACGGATGGAAACTGTCCAATCTGCAGCACTGCACTGTGAAATCTGAAGAGAATGCTGGTAGTGATGTGCTGACACTGGTAAGAAACAATCACCAAGTTGTTCCAATTGACAAGATTAGACAGCTAAATTACTTTTATCTCAGTAGTGCAATCAAGAACTGAAAGAGTGCAAGGAAGGTGCAAATGGAAGAAAAGCTGTATAAAGACAGAAACCAGCCCATCTCATCTTAAGATATTTTGCACAACCTGTGTTCATTTAGTACTATTATTCTGTGTGTTAGTCTCTACAGGTTTTTACATGTATTTTCATGGGCTAATGGAGGGTGATAGTCCCAATACCCATTTATTGAATTGCCTTTTCTCATCTGAAATGTAGTCTTTAAAAAACCAAAAACCATAAAACCCCCTACCTTCTTACTCCACAGCATATTCATTATCAGAACAACTCACTCTACTAATTAAGTTAAATCTGACTGCTAAATAACTCCCAAAGAGCCAATTTATCTCAGGTAGTATGAGCATATATTCATTTCTTCTTGTACATCACCAGCTGTTATTAATTAAATTCTGGTCACTTCAGACTGCAAGTTTGAAATAATTGCCACTATGGAAACACTTGCACTTAACAGTGAGCTCGGCTATTACTTTACTGATATTGATAGTTGTCCGAATACAGGTAGACACCACTCCAGTTATTTCATTTCAGAGTTTGTGAGATATTTAGAGGTATGTGGGGAAATTCCAAATTTGTTTCTTGAATGTGCGAAGCTTTGTCATAAATGCCTATGCAGTGCAGAACTACGTTTGACAGATTATTCTCTAAAGAAAACATCTCCTCTCTGAGAGGACATATACCCTTTGAAGCTCAGAGGAGATCACAGCAGCAGAAAGTGAGTTTTTCCCTCTGCAACAGCCCCTCTCAGCTGGCTGCTGTAATAAGGTGAGGGTTGAAGTGATGCTCACAATCTGCTTCCTTGCTACCCACCTTACACCCACATCTATGAAGCTTCTGTGGGCTGATGCTTTGACAACCCTGCAGTGCAAAGACCACCAGTATGACAAGGTATTAGGAGGAAAAGGTGTACTTTGAGCTCCCTTCAGTTTCTGTACTAATACATTGCATTTAATTAGTCATTGCAGCAGAAGGAAGGTTAAAGGAGATCTTCATTACAGATAATGAATAATGTTCCGGCATGGAAAAGTTTTGCAACCAGAGGGAGACAAAGTTGTCCTTTGAATGCATTTCCTAGCCCACTGGTAAGACTGAATTATCTCTTCTGAAATCAACTACACTTTCTCAAGTTTAAGTCATCATAGTACATATGATGAAAATCATATGTAAATAAAAATCTTAAGTTCTGAAATATTTATTAGTCCCATGTTTCAGTGGAAGTGTTAATAAAATCTGCATACTTCCAGAAAGTAAAATTCTCACATTTTTATTAATACACTTCCAATATGTTGAATCCCGCACAGCTACTTGGTATAGATATTGAACTATTACTTCATATAAAAAGTTTTGCTTTCCCTCATTTTGAAGGCCATTTATAAGAAAAGAAAAATTGCAGAGAATGAACATAACACAGTTACTGTCTTGTTGATGAAGAAAAGACACATCAAGAACACAAGGGGAACTCTAACATCTCTACAAATAAACTTCCTTTTGCATTCTAATTGAGTCCATGAAAAAATACCACTGATATGATGAATATTTTTAAGGTGATGTACAAGTAAATTTTTTTTGCCCAAACAACTTCTAGAAAATTATTTTATTTTTTTTTCCATTACTGGTATTTAAACGTAAGACTATGACCGTGATTAGAAATTAACTTTGTCTTTGCTCTATGGGGGATGATGGGAAACAAATGCTTTACCCTTTAATGAGTCACCCACTGAATTCACAGCTCACCTGCTGGTTTTAATTTATGTGGTAATTTACAAAACAAAACATTTCACGTCTTTCATCTATATACTACATTTCACTTATTTTCATGAAAATATGTACCCTTTTTTGCACAGGATACTCTTGTTTGTGAGCAGTTTCTAACCTCCTATCAAAATGTAAAATGCTTATGCAAATACATTATTAAGAAAGAAATGAAACAAAATCCTTAACGCCTTTAGAAGTTTACAAAGGAATATGTTTATAAAGGCTATTTTTAAAAGGTCTACATTTAAAATGTAACAATAATTTCAGTTTCCTAAAAGATACAAACCAATTTCAGCTTAAGAGCAGTGAATTATCATCATCAAGTTTTGTTAATTATAGCATTTAAAGGCTTAAGCAAATCTAAACATGTGATAGAAAACTGGAGACAGAAAAAGTTGATGTCTATACAGAAGGCCTATAACCAAGAATAGCTCTTATTCCTAGAATTACTTTGTTTTAATCTTGCAACTCATATAGCCACTTTATGTAGATTTAATTAGGCACCCTGAGGTTGCCCAAATACTTGCCCCATCTTATTGGAAGAAAATACTAAAACAACCTGACATTCATTAGCTACTGAGAAGCTACACTGAGCCAAATTGTCTATCCAGCTTTATGTGGTGATTCTGGGAATAATTTTCACCATTAGTTTACAAAATGACTAAAAGAAACTTGTTTTATGTAAATTTGGGAATCCTGCTGAGGTTCCCGACAATTGATAAAGTGAAATGGAGAGAAAATAACCAGTGCAAATAAAAAGCAATTTCCATGAATTCTGGTCAAATGGAAAGAAGCTAATGGACATGGCATTAGAAGCAACTTGCCTTGTAAACTGTAGATTTCTCCAACGCTGTTCTGCCGGGTGATGTGGTGCCAATATGCACTACGAGGAAGTGAGATCGACTTGGATAAAGTCATTGGTTCAGACAGACTGGTCTGGAGCTAAAAGTCAAAGCAAACACAAATGGAAGATCATACATAAGCGTAATTGATAGATAATCTCAAAACTGTAAATTGAACCTATGTTGTCGTGAAGATACTATTTCCTGAGTTACCATGGGTTTTATACAATCATTTGAACTGTGTTATAAGCATCAGCATCATGAATGTTCAGGAAAAAGCTGCAAAAGTGTGTCTAAATATATAGGTTCATTAGCACAGGTTAATATTAGGACATCAGAATGCGTTCCTATTTATCTACAACTATTCTTATTGCTGCCAGAAGTTTTTTTATTTTCTTCTTTAACTTTATGATAATGATGGATTAGCATATGCCTGAAATCTTAAGCCCCTCTACAATCACATTTCTTTTTGGTCATTTAGCCTGCATATTGGATTGAATAACCAAAAAGATTCTAAGAGAGAATCTGAGACAACCAGCAGAGAATTAGCAATGAAGAGTCATTAATCTCCTAATCCTCCTTTGAAGGGGAGGCATCTCATCACCAGTAGCAGCCTCCAGCCTCAAGAGCAAATTTTCCTAGTCAGGGGGACTTCATGTAACTGAAATAGTGAATTGCATTGTAAGTGTACATGTGCTACAGCACAGAAACCTGATAGGAGGAATGTAAGCCTTATTAAAGATCTCTGTCTCCAACAAACTATTGATGTGAGTGAAAGATAAGACTAAGCCATAGACAAAAAAGATAGAGGAAGGATTAAAGCATTCTGGATATTCCTCTCTGGATATTCCTGTATAAGTTATGCTTTCTGTGTCTAGAAGAAATTAGAATGCATCTGCAAATTTTTTATATCTCTGGCTTTACAGAATATAAAATGTGATCAATAATTTTTGGGATCTAACAAATCATTATAACATTGTGGGAATAATTTTTTCAGAGGATATCTGGAAGGATAAACACTGAAGGACCAATTATGTTTGAAGATTTAGAATGAAAAACTTAAGTTTCAGGAGTGGCACCAGGATGATGAGAGTGGCACTCTGAAAGGGTGTGCCTAGAAACATTTTCAGAGAGTTCAGCTACAGAGCAGAAGGTATTTAGGTCTAGACCATTTACTGCAGGCTAGTGATTAACTCCTAGGGGTTCCTCATTCAGAATCATAATGCCAAATTAAAAAAGCTCTTTTTATCTGTACAAACTCATGTTATTCTGTAATTTAAAAAAAAAAACAACAAACAAAACACAAAAAAACCCAAAAACTTTTAGAGACAGTATCCACACAAAGATCTAAAACTATTTAAATTTTGAGTATTAACACACACTGAGGTGTGGCATATATTTTGTTTCAGATCAATCTGCTGTAATTACTTCTGTTGTTGTTTTCTTGAGAACTGTCATCAAAATTACTCCCTGTCTACAGCTAAAGTCTTTTCTGCTCATTTTTAGCCAAGTATTACATTTCAGCTGTTGGTAGTGCAGATAATCACTGGAAGATATTTAATATCAAGTAAAGAGCTTGCAAAAACATTTCCTCCATTAAAAAAGAAGTTTAAAATCCTTATCACAAGAATTCTATTTTTAGGGAGAGTTGAGGATTTAAAGTTTACTGACGCACAGAATTTCCTTTATTGTAGAGATCAGAACAATAACAAACCTTCTAAATTATTTTACCGTATTAGTATATCAAGGGTAACAAGGGTAATTTTGTTGAGTAAGAAAATTACATAAATCATCTAACTTCAGTTTACAGGTGATTTATTCATAATTTATTCACCCAAAAGGTAAATTAAAGTCTTGACACAATGAGCAAAACTTTTTCCTCGCATGCATTCTGAAAAAAACAATTCCAGTAAAGAGAACCATGTTGACTAGAGTTTATCATCTTAAAGCTAAATCCATGGACTGAAAGGAAATTATTTAACTTATATCATTATTCCTGATCTGGGGTAATTAGCTCCTGCCTGATCTGACCAATACTGATGCAGAAGAACTTTATTTGTAAACATTAAAGCTTTGGAAGAATAAAAAAAAAATCTGTTCTCATTATAAAATAAGGTAAGAACTGCTCTAGTGCAGAAGATTGCACTGCAAGCATTCACAGTACTTTGTTTCCTCAGATTCTCTAATTAAAGAACAACTTCTGATACCACCTTTTGGATAAGAAGTATCACCATATGTTAACTGCAGTAGGACCAGATGAATCATATTTCTTTGGTGGCTCCATAGAGAAAAAATGTAATTTCTGGTTTATTAAAATATCATCTTCAGAAAAAAAATACTTTAAAATACAATGCCAATTTTGTTTTTAATTTGAGACTTTAAAATGCAAAAGTAAATGTATGGATTTGAAGACCTTATCACCTTGTATATCATATAAAGGATGATAATACAGTAGCACCTTAAGTTGTCCCTGAAGCTATTCTTAATGAATGGTAGACTACTAGCTGTAATTTTGTTTTTACTCTGTTTTATCCATATAAAAATCACATTATTTATCAAATATAATTGACAATGACAGAATGCTTACTTCTACAAACAACTGTTTGTAAAAATATTCCTGTGTTCAAAGGAAATTGGATAATCTACTCACAAAAATCTATTTTCTCTAGAGAACATCATATACATTAGACTATGTGTGTTTCAGAGAAAAAATTTGAAACCAAGGCAAAGAAAACAGACATATAAACATCCATATTATCAATTGTTCATATACTATTGAATAGCACTTCACTATATAAATAATTGTAGCTTAAACTAGAATGTAATGTACAGAGATCTACCGTTTCAAAATCCCTTTTCCCCAACTACAAAGGAAATTCTATTAGTTAAAGATGCTAAAACAGAAAACCAAACCAAACCAACAACTTGTAAATCAGGAAAGATTTACAGAACTGTTTAATTCTTAAAAAAATAGGTGCTCAGGTTCAAGATCTCTGGTGTTTCAGACCAGTGAAAGACATCACGCTCATAAGTTCAGAGACTTTGTCCTAGATCCTTTTCATTTTTTTACTATGCCTCAGAATAAAACAATTAGCTTCTCCTTTACACATTTTTGACCCAGCTAACTCAAAAAGAGAACTTTGCACTACATAATATCAAGTAAATAACCTTTAAATTTTCTTCTTTTCTCAAATCATGTAGAGCATCAGTTTCTTGCACATATTTCTTTCTGTTCTTAATTTAACACAAATATAACAGCTAAAAATATATTTTAAAAAATTTCACCTATTTCATAAAGCCTATTTACCATGTAGAAAATCAACATCTCTGAGTATGGATCTCTTCTTACATAACAGGCCAATGTTCAGCTGTTTCTTCCAACACTGACACATTTTCCTCAGGAACTGACAAAACAAGCTTAGGTACATTAGAATCAACTGTACAGAAAGGGCCCATAATGGCAGAGGTAGCACAGACACACAGAAGAGATAAATGTTTTGATCTGGGAACGAATTTGAAACCATTCTGCACCTCTACTCTGCTCTGCTGAGACCCCACCTGTAGTACTGAGCCCAGGTCTCGATGAGTCCTCAGTATAAGAAGGACAGGGATTGCTGGAGCATATCCAGAGGTGGGACACAAAAATGATCAGAGGGCTGAAATATCTCTCCTATGAAGACAGACTGAGACAAGTGGAGTTGTTCAGCCTGGAGAAAAGAAAGTTTCAGGGAGATCTTATTGTGGCCTTTCAGTACTTTAAGTGGTCTTATAAGAAAGATGGGGCAGACATTTTAGCATACATTTTTCCTGCTGTAATAGGACAAGGGGTAAAAAGAAAGTAAACTTAAATTGGACATGAGGAAGAGATTTTTTATGATGGGGGTGGTAAGGTTGCCCAGAGAGGTTGTGGATGCCCCATCCCTGGTCACATTCAAGGTCAAGTTGGACAGGGCTTTGAGCAACCTGGTCTAGTTGAAGATGTCCCTACTTATTGCAGGGGTGTTGGACTAGATGACCTTTAAAGCTCCCTTCCAACCCAAAGCATTCTACGATTTCACTGAGGGTTGTTTTGCTGTGTTTCATCTATGTACTCACCTCAATCTTTGGTATCTAGATATATGGAGGAAAGTAAAAACAGTGTACCAAATTAAACATATGTAATATAGTAACATAGCATTAAATAAAACATGCATCCAGAATGAAGAAGGTGCATCCAGAATTTATGAGGGAGAAAGCCGTGATGGAATTAGAACTTATGTTAAAAGTAGAAATGCATACATCAAAACCACATCAACTCAGGGATTTTTTTAGTGGGAATATAAGAAAAATCCATTACTGAGGAATTTTTATCGAGCATAAAATAATAGTAGTTAGCTTTCCTTTATTTCCTTCTGAATCTGTCTTTGATAAAATATCTTTCACATAGTGAACATTACATTTCTTTCTCATACCCCAATGCAATATCCAAACCCAAAATATCTAAATATTAAGTCATATGAAGCCTTTGCTTTGCCAGTGACAACTTGATAATTCTTAAAGGTCTATTTGATTAAAACAGAACCAAAAAAATAGTAAGTCTATTAATGTGTCACTGTAAGTAGTTCCCCATAGTTTTCATTATTGTTCTTTCATGAGACAAGGCTTAAGAACCAAATTTTCTTTTAATTACCACAGGCCATCTCCATTGACTTAAATAGATTTTTTACTCAGATATCAATAATGAATACAATTCCAAGAATGGAGGCTGTTAACTGTATTAGGGTTCTGGGCTTTGATCTTTTTAGCATATTATTCTCTCTCTCTTTTTTTTTTTATTTTTTTTTCCATTAAAAATATCAAAACACTAAAGGTAACAGAAAACATATTTGGCTAAGGGAGACCAACTGAGAAATATACAGTTCTTTCCATTTTTTTTAGCCTACAATAAAGACAGTTTGCTTTTTACAGATATGCTCTGAAAATAGGTTAGTTTATTACGGATAGAAAACCCTGCCTCATTTCACATTCTCATTAATGTCTTTAAACAAATAGCAAGTGAAGTAGGTCACAGAAGACTAATGAGAGTTTTAGTCTTGAAATATGAATCAAATACTGCTATTT